TACTCCAATCAAAAGACACAGGGTAGCTGAATGGATAAGAAAACATGACCCATATATACACTGTCTACAAGAGATCGACCTCAGAACAAATGATACATACAGATGGAGAGTGAAGGGATGGAATAAGTTTTCTATGCAAATGAAAATGAAAAAAAACAACAACAACCCTGGGGCAGCAATACTTATATCAGACAAAATGACTTTAAAACAAAGGCTATAGTAAGAAACAAAGAAGGAAACTACAAAATACTAATGGGAACAATCCAACAAGAGGATATAACCCTTGTAAACATATATGCACCCAATATAGGAGCACATAAGTATATAAAGAAAATCTTGGTGGTCATAAAGGGAGAGATTGACAGTAATACAGTCATAGTGGGGGATTTTAACACCCCATTGACATCACTGGGTAGATCTTCCAGGCAAAAAATCAACAAGGCAATAGGGACCTTAAATGACACACTGGACCAGATGGATTTGATTGATATGTATAGAACATTTCATCCCAGCACAGCAGAATATACATTCTTTTCAAGGACACATGGAACATTCTCTAGGATAGATCACAGGTTAGGACACAAAACAAGTCTTAATAACTAAACAATGAATGAGTCAACAATGAAGTCGAGGAGGGAATAAAATGTTACCTTGGGACAAATGAAAATGAACATACAACAACCCAAAATCCATGAGACAAGGAGAAAGCAGTCCTAAGAGGGAAATTCATAGCATGACAGACCTACATCAAGAAGCAATAAAAATCTCAAATAAACAATCTAATCCTACACGTAAAAGAACAACAAAGCCCAGAGTATGTAGAAGGAAGGTAATAAAGATTAGAGTGGAAATAAATGACATAGCATCTAAAAAAACAATACAAAAGATCGATGAAACCAACATCTGGTTCTTTGAGAAAGATAAACGAGATTGACAAACCTTTAACCAGGCTTATCAAGAAAAAAAGAGAGAGGACCTAAATAAATAAAATCAGAAATGAAAGAGGAGAAGTAACAACATACACTAAAAAAATGCAACATACACTAAACAACATACACTAAAAAAATGCAAAAGATTGTATGAAAATATTATGAACAACTATATGCCAATAATTTGGACAACCTCAGAGAAATGGGTAAATTCCTAGAAATATATAATCTTCCAAAACTGAATAAGGAAGAATCAGAAAATCTGACTAGATCGATGACAACTAACGAAATGGAAGTAGTAATCAAGAAACTCCTAGCAAATCAAAGTCCTGGATTGGATGGCTTCACAGGCAAATTTTACCAAACATTCAAAGAAGGACTAACATCCATCCTTCTCAAACGATTCCAAAAAATTCAATTGGAGGGAAGACTCCAAACTATTTTATGAGGCCAGCATTATCCTAATTCCAAAACCAGATAAAGACACTACAAAAAAGAAAATTTTAGGCCAATATCCCTGATTAACATAGATGCAAAAATCCTCAACAAAATATTAACAAACCAAATCCAGGAATGCAAAATGATCATACACCATGATTGAGGGATTTATTCTGAGGACTAATGGTTGGTACAATATTTGCAAATCAATAAATGTAATACACCACATAAACAAAATGAAGGGTAAAAATTATCACATGATTATATTCATAGATGCAGAAAAAGCATTTGATAAAATCCAGCACCCAATTATGATAAAAACTATCAGCAAAGTAGGAATAGAGAAAACATTCCTCAACATAATAAAACCCATATTTAACAAACCCACAGCCAACATCATAGTCAATGGAAAAAACTAAAAGCATTTCCCTTAACATCAGGAACAAGACAGGGATGTCTGCTTTCACCACTCTTATTCAACACAGTACTTGAAGTCGTAGTCACAGCCATCAGACAAGAAGAAGGAATAAAAGGAACCCAAACTAAAAAGGAAGTAAAACTGTGATTATCTGAAGAAGAGATGACACTGCATATAGAAAAACCTAAATACTCCACCAAAAAACTACTAGAACTGATCAATGAATTCAGTAAATAGCAGGATATAAAATTAATATTCAGAAATCAGTGGTATTTTTATATACCAATAATGAACTACCAAAAAGAGAAACTAAGAAAACATCCCATTTACAATTGCAATGGGAAAAATAAGGTACCTAGGTATAAATTTAACCAGGGAGGTAAAAGACCCATACTTAGATACTAAAAAAAGAAACTGAGGTAGATACTAGTAAGTGGAAGCATAAACCATGTCCACTGATAGGAAGAATTAACATCATAAAAATGTCCATACTACCCAAAGCAATCTATAGATTCAATGCAGTTCCTATCAAGATACCAATGGCATATTTCACAGAACTAGAACAAATATTTCAAAAATTTATATGGAACCTCAAAAGATCCTGAATAGCCACAGCAATCTTGAGAAAAAACAGTTGGAGGGATCACGCTACCTGCTATCAAACTATACTATGGGGCCATAGTAATCAAAACAGCATGGTACTGGAAAGCAGGCATATAGTTCAATGGAATAGAATAGAGAACCTAGAAATAAACCCACACCTTTATGGTTAATATCTGACAAAGGAGGCAAGAACATACAATAGGGTAAAGGTAGCTTAATCAATAAATGGTGTTGGGAAAATTGGACAGATACATGAAAAAAAAAAAAAGACACTAAACCACCTCTTTACACCATATACAAGAATAAACTCAAAGTGAATTAAAGACTTAAATTTAAGTCAAACCACAAAAATTCTAGAAGAAAACATAAGCAGTAAAATCTCAGACATCTCTCATAGCAATATTTTTTTCTGATATATCTCTTTGGGCAAGGGAAACAAAAAAATAAAGTGAACGAATGGGACTACATTAAACCGAAAAACTTTTGCACTGAAAAGGAAACCATCAACAAAATAAAAAGACAGTCCACTGAATGGAAGAACATAATTGCCAATGATACATCTGATAAGGGGTTAATTTCCAAAATTTATAAAGAATTTATACAAGTTGACACCAAGAAAACAAACAATCTAATTAAAAAATGAGCAAAGGATCTGAATAGACACTTGTCCAAAGGGACATACAGATGGCCAATGGACATATGGAAAGTTGCTGGACATTACTAATCATCAGAGAAATACAAATGAAAACTACAATGAGATACCACCTCACACCTGTCAGAATGGCTATTATCAATCAACCAACAAACAATAAGTGTTGGCGAGGATATGGAAAAGGGAATCCTTGTGCACTGTTGGTGGGAATGCAGACTGGTGCAGCCACTGAGGAAAACAATATGGAGTTTCTTCAAAAAATTGAAAATGAACTGCCTTCTGACCTAGCAATTCCTCTTCTGGGAATATATCCAAAGAAACCTGAAACACAAATTTAAAAGAATATACTCACCCCTATGTCCATTGAAGCATTATTTATAATAGCCAAGATTTGGAAGCAGTGTCAGTGTTCATATGTAGGATGAGTGGATAAAATGGAATGAATACTACTCAGCTGTACAAAAAGAAGGAAATCTTATTGTTTTAGACAGCCTGGAGTGTACCTAGAGAGTATTATGGTAAATAAAATAAGCCAGTCAGAGAAAGACAAATACCATATGATTTCATTTATGTGTGGAATCTAATGAACAAAATAAACTAACAAACAAAATAGAAACAGACTCATAGATACAGAGAACAGACTGACAGCTGTTGGGGGAGGAGGGGATGCTAGGTGAAAAAGGTGAAGGGATTAGCCAAAAAAAACCAGACATAGACAACAATACGGTGATTGCTAGAGAGAAAAAAAAGGGGTGTGGGGGAAGGTGGAAGAAGGCAAATGGTGGATAAGAAACGGTGGAAAAAGACAACTTGGCATGGTGAGCGCACTATGCAGTATGCAGATGATGTGTTATAGAGTTGTACACTCGAAAACTGCATGGTTTTATTAACCAATGTCAACCCAATAAATTCAACAAATGAATGAATGAATGAATGAATGAATGAATGAATGAATGAACAAGACACCAAAGAGATTCTGCACTCCTCCTTCATCTGAGGAGCCAGCAAAAAGATGGCTATCTAANCACTTCTCCTTCATCTGAGGAGCCAGCAAAAAGATGGCTATCTAAGAAGTGGTCCCTCAGGAGACATCGGCTCGGCCAGTGCCTTCATCCTGGACTTCCCAGCTTCCAGAACTGTGAGTAATAAATTTCTATTGTTTATAAGCTACCTAGTCTATGCTTTCTCTGTTATAGCAGCTCAAGCGGAGTAACACAGTTCCATGCAATGCATTTACCTGGCATCCTTTGCATAGAGAATTCATTCCGTTTTCAGATAAAATGTCACCTCTTAATACTTGCTCACCCAACCAACTCCTTCTACCCACTCTATCATTCCTTAGAATATTTTCTAGCTTCTATTGATAAAGAAGTCTCCCTAACTAAAACACACAGCCTGTGAAACACATACTATCTGAAATTGGTATAATTATTTGTTGGTTTATTTGTTTGTTGTTTATCTCCTCAAAGGTAATGCAAGCTTCATAACAAAGAGTTATCTGGCCTCAAATGTCAATTGTGCTGAGGTTGAGAAACTCTGACTTACACGTTTCCAGACTTACAGGTCATGCTGGAGTCTCTGCAGAGAGGAAGATATTAACTTGTCTTCGTGGTAATGATCAAAAATAACTTTGGGCCTTCCTTCTAGCCCCTTTCCTTGGTCTTTATAAAAACACGTATTTTTAGTTATAGGTTGCAAATCATTCTTGCCTTTTACTCCGCATAAGTTACCCTTGGCCTTGTGAGTGCCTTGTGAGTAACCTGGGGTACATTACCTGCTGCTCATGGAGAATCACTTGACCTTTGAGGGGATTTCCCAAGGGTGCCNGTTGGCATGTGAGTGCCTTGTGAGTAACCTGGGGTACATTACCTGCTGCTCATGGAGAATCACTTGACCTTTGAGGGGATTTCCCAAGGNCTTGGCCTTGTGAGTGCCTTGTGAGTAACCTGGGGTACATTACCTGCTGCTCATGGAGAATCACTTGACCTTTGAGGGGATTTCCCAAGGGTGCCACAGTCACAAACGGGTGCCAAATTCCACTGGCAGTTCTTGGGAAGATGTCAAAAAAGTCCACAAAGTTACCACTTTTTCCGGCCATATTCATGAAGTATAAGGAAACAGGATTGCATGTAACTACATAGAGAGTATTTTCCTCATTTTCTGAAATGACAAAAAGGAGTTAATTTTGTAATCTGCAACAAATTTTCTGACTGGTCAAGAGGTCTGGTGAAAACTGAATCATGAGACTAAGCACAGTTGAAACTCAAGAGATGATTTGTAGATGGATTGATTAGGCTGAAAAAGGACCATGAGAAGCAATTTAGTTCCTGCTCTAAAAGTAGATGGGGCCACAGCTATCTATTTAAGGAAGTATTTGGTCCCAAAAGAATTCTATAATATCTCACAATAACACCATTAACTATTTAACACTTCAAATGCAGGAAATTCTTCCTTGTATGAAAGCAAAGTGCTTTGTACTTCAATAAGGTCTGTTTTCTCTTGTTTTATTGTTCGTTCAGACGGACAAAAGCTGGTCAACATCTGCCTGCAAATCTTGCATTTCCTAGACAGTTACTAGATCCTTAAGTTTTTCGTGCTATAAATAATTCCATTTTTTTATTCTTAGCTTTATGGATCTAATTTCCCAAACTTTTGTTTATCTTTTGAGTACCTCTTATAAAATCTCCGTCCCTTCTCATCACACACACAAAAATTTTATAACTATGTATGGTGACGAATGTTAACTAGACTTACTGTGATGATCATTTCACAATACAAATATCAAATTATGTTGTATACCTGAAACTAATATAATGTTATATGTCAATTATAACTCAATAAAAAATAAAACAAAATCTCTATATTTTCAATCTGGGTACTTGAATAGGTTCATTTTCTGAATTCTCTATTAGTGCTTTTTCAACTCAAGTGCATATGAATCACTAGGGATCTAATGAAAATGTAGGTTCTGATTAAGTAGGTCTGGGAGGGGTTTCAGATTCGGTCTTTTCAACAAGCTCCCAGGAGATGCCAATGCTGTTGGTTTGAGGGCCTTCCTTTGAGTAATCAGACAATAGGCTATGTTTCCCATAATCTGTATCTATGGCAAGGGAATAAGTTACTTTTTTATAATAAGTGCTCTCAGCATCATTCCTCATCTAGGCATCTGTTTGACAGTGGTCATATTTTCTGAACCCAAAAGTAAGACACAAGACATGATAACAAGATATAACATTTATATTTGGTACTATCCTAGAAAATGTGGAACATATGTATACATATATTGTTTGTGTGTGTATGCCATAGACATATATAAAGACCAAATATTATATGTAAAGATATAGGAAATTTAATAAATAGCTAACATTGATAAGAAACACAAGTCAACAGAAGCTGTAGAAGAAGACATTATTTAGGAGATTGTGTGTATGTTATAGTTCCAAATATCAGATAGAATGACATAATTTATATCTGAAGAATCTTTTTAGTGTATCCTCTATCAGCACAAATCAAATCAATTCAATTCAATTCAACATTTATTGAGTACCTTTGCACATAGGATAGGGTACCAGGGAATATACTAAAAATATTAACACAAGTATACTTAAAATTATTAATTGCTCTCTGATATTAAAAGAATTAAGTGCTGTTTGGTCTTTGGCTCAAATATATATATGAATGATTCTAAGCCAAGAAAATGCTCTTTTCTCTTACAAATACAGAATGGGTAAAAAAAGAAGAAACAAATAACAAAAAACATAGTTTGCAAATGTGGATAATACTGAAATAAAGGGTCCAACTATATGAAGAACAGCAAAGGAGTTTCATTTTTTAAGGGCAATTCTGACTACCTGGCAGCAGCTGCCTGGAATGATGTGTTGAGAATTGTGACACTGTGACAAGGTTTAATGAGGAAAGTGCTGCACCTGATTAGTGATGCCTGTCAAGGGCAGTGGGGCAGAGGATCACAGCATACTTATGTACAATCCCTAAATATGGCACAAGGGCCAAAAGTTCAAACTGTATCCATAGAATCCATCCTTACTCTCTACTAATGAATGTAAAATATCTTAATAAGAGCACCAATCTGTTACCAAAATCCCTGCACATTTTTATCCAACACTGCTCATTTTAGGAATAAACAATACCTATAGAATTTACATGAACAAAACTTTCTTCTGAATTTTTGCCTGCGCAATCCCCATCTTAGTCAAGTTAGAGACTCTCTCCCCTCCTCCTGCCCTCGCTTCTGTTTATACTACTTAATAACTGCCACTAATTGAGAAACTGCTGCCAAAATGTACCAGGGCACACTACATGCATCAGTAGGTAATGGCAACAGTCCAGAAATGCACATGCCAAAAGTTAACATCCTTTATTTGTCTTTCTTTACAATGAGAAGTTTAATGCCTGCAAATCACTGCAGCCTCGCTTTCATGGTTCATGCAATCACCAAACTGGAATCCCAGCCAAAGAATCCAATGTTTCTCCTTTTTCTTTTTCCCTTCTATTTTTAGCACATGCCTGGGTGTGTTTAACTTTGTGCTACAATTGTAATGAGAAACAGACATATGCATACAAACTTAGCAGTGCTTAAGTGGATCCCACAATAGTATTTTGTTAGGTTGTTATAGGAAATTAGTTCTAAATTTTACATAATTGCTATCCAATCCAAGAACGACAGTCTATGGACTTCTTGATGTCTAGAGATTACTTGAATCCCTCTTTTAAAAAAATCAGTGCAGGAAGGAAAAAATCAAAAGAATAAACTGACATACCATGGGATGTAGCAACGTCACAGATTATGTTAATGTCATCCAAGGGCAACCTCCAGGAGGCACATTCTTCAGTAAAGGTTTCCGATCTTCCTTCATGTCTTTCTACTGGATACTCCTGTATGTTTATAAATGCTGGGCCCTATAATAAAGTAGTTATCTGAGTTACGAAATTTGGGTAGTTACTAAAATGTAGAAAATGTAGTTCTTCCAAAATACAGAATTTAATTTAAATAATCAATATCTTAATCTATCTCTTATTTTATTGACTGGCATGTTATGTATAAAAATAATACCATAAAATTGCATTTATAAATGCTTCCACATGTGCTGTTATTTAATTCTCACTTTATTTTCTTTTTACCCATAAAATATACCAGATGTAAAATCCCACAATATTTCTCATTATTTCATTTCTTCCTAAGCCAAGAGCAACTTTGAACTCCAAGTACTGGGACCCAGAGCTGTCCTGACCAGAAGGATAATTTGTAAATGAATGAATCAGGGCCTGATATAGTTCCACTGCACAGAATGATTATTATATCATTACATAGAATGTAATAGCTAAGCCTGGGTCTTTGAAATAAAATATAAAAAACAGTGACAACTGAAATGAAAAACATCTTACCGATAACCACTACTGTTAATTATGAAAGGTAGAATATTCACACATGGTAAAATGTTGTGCAGTAGAAACATAAGCAGAGGAACAAACTTAATAACGTTATTGATATAGGTACTGGGTACTTAGATATGATATCCTGGAAAGATTATATAGATGTAACTAAAATGTCAATAATTCGTATGCTTTACCGTCAGTCCTTAATTAATAAAAAAATGTTTGGGTTAGATACTGACCACTGTGGCATCCATGTTCCTTCCTGCTTTTGGACTAGTCTGCATCTCAGGAGCAGGAAGACTAGAAACTACATTCCTCATACTCCCTTGCAGCAAGGGTTCTGGATGTGATTAGGTTATGCCAATTAAATGCACTTGCATGAGATTTGGAAGGCAGAAGTAGTAGTGGCCGTCTTCCTGCAGCTATAGTTGACAAGGAGTCTCTGACAAATACATGCAGTCAGATTCTATGCTCTACTCCAGGCATTTATGAACTATGGACCACTGGTCAACCCTGATCCCTGCCTGCTTTTGTAATGTATTGTCTACGGCTGCTTTTGTGCTACCATGGCAGAGTTGAGTAGTTAGTTGTGACAGAATCTGTATCGCCACAAAGCCTAAAATATTTACTACCCGATGTTTTACAGAAACAATTGCCAGTCGTGCTTTACTGTATAGCTCTCAGCAACAGGGGTGGTAGCAGAAGCAGAAGCACTGATCTTGAAACTAAAACTCCAGTGATGACCCCTAGACTTTTGTTCCTTCTGTCTTTTCTAATGATTTTATAAGCATCTAATTCCCTACAGTAAATCCTTTTTTGCTTGAAATATATAGAGGGGTTTTTATTGCAACTAGTGATTGCTAATCTTTTCCTTTGCCTTTTTACATGAAGACTAATATCCTGGCATAACTGTCTCAGAGAACACACAAGATACCTGATTCTCCTGAAATACAGGTCAGCTCTTAGGAATTTTACTGACCATTAGCAATTACCTACACTGAGTCCCTCAGAGGCCAGACTGGTGTGAGTTTGAGCAGAAGCTAAATCTACTCTAATATAAATCAGAACAAGTCATTTCTGAGTTTGTATAAGTTTTCTCCAGTGAAGATACATAAAAATCTGTAACATTCAACATTTTAATGAAGAAATCATATCAACCTTTATGTCTATATGATGAGTTTCTGCTGGACACAACAGTTTCTGCATTCCATTTCTTGACTGGCCAATTGTCCAGTAGCCCATGAATGTCTGCTTTGGCAGAGGCAACCTGTCAAGGATGATTTGAAAAGTAAACATTCCTTCTTGTTTCCAAGTCACAGGGAAAAAAAGAGCCATCTATTATCAAATACACAAATAAATTTGATGAATGCTTTACTCAGAAGTTTTTTTCACTTTATTAAGAGCCTATAAAACCATGCTTAGAATGTACTTTAAGAAGAAAAGATTCCACATTTCTGATTCAGAAGATAAAGTCCTATTCTGTTTTTACCTTAATGACAAATAGAATTGATTACATACTTTTTCCTTGAATTGGTAAAATACTTAGCAATTTGACATCTAAATTCCCAGTAGAGCATAGCATAGAAAAGGTTTAGGCAAAAAAGGGAACAGTCTATCAATTTTTCAGTATATTCTTTCAAATTTGGAATCAAATGATAAATAGCACACACTACTACCAGTCACATGTTTGTAAGTTGTACAGGGCAAGTTTCACAGACTCTGTTAGCACTTTAATTTTTTTCACTTTGAATTGAAATATTATAAACAGAAACATTCACATAAATGTGCCACTTAGTCCTGAACACACCAGCACCCAAAACCAGCACCCAAAGGAACAGAGCATCACCAGCACCCAGAAAGCCCCTCAGGATGACTGTGGTCATTACACTCTCCAAGGGAGCTCCTATCCTGATTTCTAATGGAATTAGTGTGTGTTTAGATTCCTTTTTATTTAAAATGACTTTTATATAAAGTGATTTGCCAAAACACATATAGCAGTGCTAAAGTACAAAACCACAGACAAATTTTTGAGCATACTACCTTTTCTTTAAAAAAGAACCATCAATTTGTCATTTAATTCATTATAAAATTTCTTATTTCCTGATAAGGCAAACAATGATTCAGAGTTAAATTTCTTTAAAAATAATGCACATGTAGATATAAATTGAAATGCATGTTTGGAAACGAGTTTGAAGATCATTAAAAGAGTACATATTTATATCGAGAAATCATTTTATTTTCAGTAAGAGTAGTCTGACACAAATTTCCATATGCTTAATAAGACCATGTAAGGCTCATTTTTTTGCATAAAATAACAGAATCAAGCATTCTAGAAGAATATGCTCTTTGGCCCTTGGAAATACTTATGTTTAACACAAAAGGAAAGAAATTTACTTTGAAATTCTTCAACGTCATCTGACATAAATCTCTTAAGTAGGTGCTTTTGTATCTATCATCTAAAATACATTTTAAATTATTCTGATTGGTCACCCACTTCCTTCCAGGGGATTTGCTATTGTTGTGTTCTCTCTATTAAATGTAATAAGGATCTTGAAAACATCTCATAGACTGGGATCTCTCTCTCCTTGTTTAGAGAATGAAATGTATTCTTCACTTGCTTTCAGCAGTTCACCAAAGGGGAATTAGGTCTCCAAATATCGAAGGAGAAAAATGAAGTAAGGAGACACACCTATTTCCCCTTAGCATAGATGACATAGTACAACAGAATGCAGGAGACCTGGGTTCTAGTTTTAGTTCTTTCATCAACTAGCTATGCAGACTTTGGAGAGGAAGAATCAGCTAATATCTCTGAGTGCTAATTTCTTCCTTTGTGAAATCGAGGGGAAGATCTGTAATGTTCCTTAGAGCTTGGGGAGTCTGTGAAGATCACTGAAGTGAGTCAAGGGAAGTGGCAGTGGTAGATTCCATAGTCTTGCATTACCTTGGTGCTCTGGCATGAAAATAAAACAATCAAAATGAAAACATCTACACCTCCCAATAGAAATAGGTGCCCTGAAAGAAAGGCATGCTTTACTAATTAGCTTTTAAAAAGAAATTCGAAATACATCCCATTCTTTGAAAACAACAGAAACAGGTGCACAGCTTGAAATTTAACTAAGTTTCTTACAGGTGGAGAAATACTTAATAAAAATGATCCTTGCTTGATAGGTTAATATGCAGCCTAAAACTGATCTAATATATCCTTTAATAATCACAAAAATATCATACAGATGCTAAAAAAACAACCACTTCATTCATTTGAGAAAATGTAACTACCCAGCATCTACCTTTTACTAACAATTCCAGGGATATTCATGAAATCTGGTTTGAACTTGCCAACTCATTCTAAATAATAGTCATGGAAATTATAGGCTGTCTGGTTACATCTCAAAATAGTCCTAGCTGGTTGGCAGGATATGGGAAGGACCTTCAGGTACCCCTTATAGAATCTATTCCAGAACCACATAAGACAATTTGTATGGGCAGTCACAACTACAACTGAAGGACAGATTTGCAGGGTGTTCTAGAGTTGTGCAATCAAACTGACTCCATCCGGTTCCTTGGTCACATCAAGTGTTGTTTTCAGACTTTTCCAGTGGGCTCCAGGCAGGCCAACTGATGTAAACCAAAGCCTCTCATTTATTTTCCACTAATAAGCCCTCCCAATAAGCTGTGGACAAATGTGATGGTTACTAACTCGCTCTCCTTCGCTATATTAGTAGTTAGGGGAAAAAGGAAGCATTAAAATTGGATGCATGAGCACGCTTTGAATTTGAAGCCCAATCAACACTGGTTTGGGGGGAACGCTAAACTAATAACCAGTCAACAAAAGATCGTATATTCCATTATTAAAACCGGTCATCCAACTCTGACTAGAATTAAGTTGTTATACCTGATTTGATTCAAACAACAGTATTTTCCATGGTTTTAAGAACCTGTCACTTGTTTTGTTTAACTTTGTTAAAGTTCTAGCAGGAATGATGTCTGGATTTAATTTTAAAGGGAAGAAGGAAAAAGTTAAGGCCTATAAATAGCACTACTTTTTATTTTCAATGTCATTCATGAATTTATGTTTTCCTAAAACAATGAAATATTTCAATTCATATGTTGTGATGTTTCTTAATCCTCTGTGGAAGTATTAACAAAGATCTGGAAGTAGAAGTTTTAACTATGAGAATGGTGAATATTGAAAGCATGACCCAGATCAAATTATAGCACTTTGAGCAGTTACAGAAAGGGGAAAAAAGTGTTTTTTTCTAAACATGCATACAATTCCTAGCATGAGGCATACAGACACCAAAGTCAAGTAATATAGTCTGAGTGACATGCAAGAGGTTTGTCTAAGATTGTTTCCATAAAGAGGTGAGCTGGGGTTTTAAGGAGTATGTTCTGGCAAATTTCTGTCTTCTCTGAACATTTGCCAGTACTATTTCTGGAGTATGAAAGAAACACATGAAAAAGATTTGGATCTTTCTAGGGGCATTATGTAATTGGAAGTTGCTGACATACCTATTATCAGCAATTCCTAAAACATTTCCTTACCACAAGAACTACTAATTTTCATGGGAATAAAGGAAACCTTCAGGGTAGTTCTACCAACTCTCAAAAATTCACCAATTACTCCCATCTTTGAGAAGAAAAAGAACAACTCCCATTTTAGCAGGCCTTGCTCATTACTAATGTTTTAAATCTAATCTCTGGTACAAATGAAGGTGGACTATTCAACTGAGTTTCCTGGAGCCTGAACAGAATAACCTAGACAAATATTTTTACCTTTGGCTCATACCCCTTCCTCTCACATTTCGGTTAATTTATGCCTTAGCCACTTTGAACTGCTCCTTCCTAGTCCTGAACATGTTATGCCTTCATGTTTCCACCAGGCCATTACCTGTCTAGAATTCCTTCCTGCTATTGCCTGTTTAATGAAATCCTCATTCTTGAGGCACAATTCAAGAATCACTTCCCCTTGCATCCCTCTCCCATATTTCTTTCTGGGCAGAATGAATCTCTTGATCTTCTGGGTTTCCATGTAAATTTGCACTCTTAGGACAGAGTTCTGTATAATTTGCAATTTTCAAATTTATGACCTGACAGGGAAGAAAAGTTTAAGAGATCAAGGCCCTAAGTGAATTAATAAAATCCTTCATAAATATTTTTTAATTTAAAACAAAATTTAAAAACCCAGCACACTAAAGAAAGAAAACAGAAAATCCTCTTTAAACACTTTAAGTTAGTAATAATAGGTACTACTTTTCCCAGTTAAACTTCCCTTGTTTACTAGAAACTTCCGAATCTCCATTCCCTATAGTCTCACTTGTTGCTGGTAAATTAATTTTGTGGCAAACGATATGCACACAATGAGGATGTGTGTGGGTTTTTCTTTCTGGGTTTGGCTCTGCATTTAGACATATGGCTTTCACTTTATAACTTAGACTTGTGCACCTCTGCCACCTAGGTCCTGCTGAGGTCAGAAAAATGAAGAGTAATTTGGATGCATGTGATGGAAAAATATTTGGGGAAACTTACTGTTATTCTTGGCTGACACTTCCCAAACACGATCCCCAATATCCAGAATGACACTGTGCAGTCTCAGTGCTGCTGCCCAGCATCACTAGTGCCAAAGCAGATGTTGTCAGCTGGCTCCTCATATCTCGGGCTTTCTTCCTGCGCACAGAATTTGCCAGACTCCAGTTCTGGGGCCTGTGTTTCCTTTCCCTCATCTTCAAGTTTCACTGCAAAAACTTCTCTTTTTCTGCCATCTGCTTTTCCAACCACATTTAAGTATTTTTGAATCTTAAGTTCTTTCCTTTTCTAATTATCCACATCAAAAAGAACTGAGACTAAAACTCTTCCAGTTGGAAGTTTTTCCAGAAAAACACACACTAAAAAAGCTCTGTATTTCTCACAAGAGGAACTTACTGGATGAGAAAGCCCTACTGTGAATGTAACTTTGAATATAACATTGCATAACAAGGTTCATAGTTTAATGTTGTCCCAACTAGATTGTTAATTCACTGAGGGTAAGGTTTGTATCTCACTCACTCAAATCTCTGCCACTCAGAATCCGTGAATTTTGCCACCTAAATATCACTCATGTCCTCTTCATTCCCACAGCCACAACGGAAGCCCACACTGTTCATCACATGGATTCCTACAGCTGTTCCCAACGGGTCTTCCTGCCTTCAGTCTCACTGTCTTTCAGTTTATTATCTTTTAGAAAACCAAAAGGGGTCTTTCTTAATCATGAATCTGGCCATACTACGACTG